CGCCGTACCTCGATGCCGATCCTGAGGATTGCCTGAGTTTCCCTGGGCACATCCCTGAGATTGTCAGCGCCTTGTGCTTGCCGATCTTAGGGGTAGGAACAAGTTCGATGCTGGTTGGCTATCCTCCCATCAGGTCTGGAGGCTCGTGGACACGAGCTGCCCCACGCTCTCCCGTCCAGAGGCGGCCAGGTGGCCGCGGTCGCTGCGGTGGATGGTCGCCCTCACTGTGGGCACGGGGTGCTTGCTGGTCATGCAGGTCAGGGAGGGAGGGACGACGACGACAATAAGAAGAGCACATACCGTAGTCACACGTAGATATCTGGCGATCCGCGCAGATTTCTTGGAACGGCGTTCGGGCACACCTGGCGGCGCCCTCGGTGCCGCCCCCGGCGCGCTAGGGGCAGCGGCAGAGGCGCTGCTAATTAGGGGTGCAGCGCAGATCCAAGAAATCTTCGCGGTCCTTCGAAAGTTATGGTTGTACAGTTCTTAATTACTCTATGGGGGACGTCGACGACGACGACGACGACGACGACGACGACGACGACGACGACGACGACGACTGCGACGGCGACGACGAACGACGAACGAGAAACGGCGAACAACGAATGACGAACGTCGAACTACGACGACGATGACGGCGACGACGACGACGACAAAGTTGAACGACGAGCGAGAAACGACGAAAGACGGACGACCACGACCACGACCACGACCACGGCCACGGCCACGACCACGGCCGAGGCGGCGGCGGCGGCGGCGGCGACGATCACGACGACGGCAGCGACGACGACGGTGACGACGACGACGGCGGCGGCGGCGACGGCTACGACGACGACGGCGACGACGACGACGACGCCAACGACCACGGCGACAACGTCGACTACGACGACGACGACGACGACGACGACGACGTCGTCGTCGACGATGACGACGACGACGACGCCTTGGCGGCGCTGGCGGCGACGATTACGACGACGGACGACGACGACGACGACGATGACGACGACGACAACGACGAGGAAGACGACGACTACGAAGACGGCCTCTGTGGGTCAGCCTCGGGTCCTAGGGCCATCAATCGACAATTTGGGACGGAGAACTGCTCACTCGGACCCTGGGAGGGGTCCGGGAGTCGATGTTGAACGGCGGAGGAGGACGAGGAATAGTTTTAACCCAAGGCGCATCAACTGTATTGCAATACGCCCTCCCTGAAAGCTCCGTCTTTAAAGGCTCATGCACGCTTTCATTTTCACGGAAGGAAATTCACTGTTGGAAGATCACATTTTGAACATCCAGACTTGTGCCAGAACGCCTTCCTTGAGATTTCAACGCCGCGAATTATCGTTGATGTTGCGTGTTGACGATCCTGAATCACGCCAAAACGCAATTCCTGGGACGTCAACGCAGCGAATCAGCGTGTCTGCTGCGCCCTGACGTCCTGACATCCTGCCCAAAGCATTTTCTCCGGGACGTTCACCGTGAGAATCTTTGAAACTGCTGCGAATTCTTAGGATGAGTGCGCGTGGCGCTGAGGCGAGAGCCACATTTTGAAAGCGAGCCGCCCTCCATCCGTGAAGCTCTTGTAAGCCTTTACAAAGAGTGTGCGCGGTGCGGTGCTAAGGCGAGAACCACATTATGAAAAGGGACCGCCCTCCATCAAAACGAATGTGCGCGGCGCGAAGGCGCGAGCCACATTTTGAAAGTGGGCCGCCCTCCATCCGTGAAGCAAGTGCAAATTTCAAGCTTCAGGATCAAACATTGTAAGGAGGCGAAACGCTCGGCCCGCCCTTTCGACCTGCCTCGGGGTGCGATAGAGCGGAGCCATCTATAAGAAAAAGGAATGAGGGAGGAGGAGGAAGATGAGGAGGAGGAGGACGACGATGAGGAGAGGGACCAGGCTGAGCAATCGCAGCTACCGCCACCTCCCCTCTCCCCGTCCAGCAATTTCACGGTTAAGTCGCAGTTGTCGTCCTCGCCGTTCCGTCGTGCATGCTCCCCTTTCCCCCTCCAGGGGCCGCAGGGGGCTATCCCGCCCCCTGGCATCCCGCCCCCTGGCTGAAGGGTTTCTCTCTCTCCCTCTCTTGTTGCCGTCCTTTTGCAGATGCCCTTCTTCGATCACTCCCCTCAGTCGGGATGTGGGGGGATGGCAGCGTTCAAACGTGGACTCTAATGCCGGCAGCGTCAGCGTCAGGAAGAGCCGGGTGATCCATTCTCCCCCTTCTCCTGGTCTCTCGTCTCCTCGGGGGTTCTGCACGGCAGGGCCATGAGCGTCCCAAGGGCCATGGTGAGCTACCGCTCGCCACTCGCCCAGCGTCCTTGGCAGCGGGCCATTCTGCAAGCTGATGCGCACAGTGCGGCCCCAGCCAGAGCCCCAGAGGTCTCCGGAATCGTGATCTCTGGTACCCTCAGGAGGCCCAAAGACGGCCGCCGGCTTCCAACAACGTCGACCTTAGCGTGTCGAACCTCGATCACCGAACCTCGTTCACGGTCGGAAGCGTTTGGTTTGTGTGTCGTTCTGCAAGTTTTGGCCTGCCATGACTCGGCGCAGCACCCCATGCACGTCCCAGTCCCCAAGCGTCAACCTCCCGAGTCTTTCCGATCCTCCCGCCCCTGGAAGCGGAGCGACGTGCCATCCGCCGGCAGGCATCGCGTGTCGCGGGGGCCGCCGCCGCGACACGCTGAGCAAAACTTCCGAGTCTAAGGGGGGTCCAGCGCCGATCCGAGAAACCCGCGCGGACCTCCGAGTTTTTACGTTTATATCACTGCTCGTTCCCTTACAATCGCAGAACCTCCTGCCCTGCCAAGGGGGTCCAGGGAGGAGGAGCACCGGAGGAAAATAGGGGAGCAGCTCGAAGCTCGAAGCTCGAAGGGGGAGGAGGAGGCGGAGGAGGAGGAGGAGGAGGAGGAGGAGGAGGAGGAGGAGGAGGAGGAGGAGAGGGAGGAGGAGGAGGAGGGGGAGGCGGAGCTTCCTGCCCTGCCAGGGCGATCAGCGAGTGGCCTTGTTTTCTCTTTTCGGTTCTCGAGAGGGGGCGCTGCGGCCGCAGTTCCTGGTGGGCCTGCGCCCGCCAGGTCTCGTCCCCCTGCCGCTGCCACGACCCGAGGAACGGCGTGCCGCGGGTGGCCCGCCGCCGCGGCGCGCTGAGCAGCAGGAGTCCCTGACCAGATCCTCGGTCGATCCTCGATCCTCGGTCCTCGATCCTCGATCGATCCTCGATCCTCGGTCCTCGATCCTCGCTCCTCGGTCCTCGATCGATCCTCGATCCTCGGTCCTCGGTCCTCGATCCTCGGCCAGAGTTCCTGACCAGTTCCTCGGTCCTCGATCCTCGATCGATCCTCGACTTCCTGACCCAGAACTCCGGCGTCGTGATTTTGTTCACGACGTGCCCCCCAGAAGTCTGGACCCCTTCCCGGGGACCGGCGTTTCATCCTGGGTCTTTTTGTTGACGGTCCCGAAGCCCCGGGAGGGCCCCGGGGAGGCCGAAAATGGCAAACAACCTCTCGTCGTGTTTTTTTTCACAGCGCGAGGGGGTCTGGGGACCGTGTCCTCCCGTTCCTCGCCCTCGCCCAGGGAGGCGGGCAGGTGCTGCTCGGGATCAGCCTGGGGGCCCTGGCGCTGCTGGCCGACTCCGCCCACGGCGCCGCGGACTTCGCCAGCTACATGCTAGCCTCGTTCGTCGAGCACCAGGGGGGGGGGGCGGGGGCGCCGTAGTCCGAACCCTACCCTCGCCGATCGACGATTCGGGTATCGAAGAGGGCAAAACTGCATAAGCACAAACTTTATGTTTAGGCCGTTGTTCTTCTCCTAAGGCAACTCGAGGGGCAGCGGGGAGGGGGTCCGGACTTTGTCGAACACATGAAGTCATCCCAAACCTACCCCCGCCACCCATCGATTCAGGGGGGTCGATTGTTGGCCGGGGTAGGGTTCGGATGTCGCCACCTGGGGGAGGAGCAGGAGAGGAAGTAAGATGAGGAGCATCAGAAGTGGCAGCGGGGGCGGTCAACGCTGACGGTCAGCAACTTTGACTTAGCGTGTCGATCTCGCTGGTTCTGGCCACACACTCTTCGGCGCGACACGCTAGCCACTTCCCAGTTCCTAAGCGCCCACGTCCCGAGCGTTTTCCAGATTCTTGCCCTTCGGAGCGGAGCGGCGCGATACCCGCTTGCATGGAATAGCGTGTTGCCAGGGCCGCCGCCGCGGCACGCAAAGCAATAGTTCCTGACCGCAAGCAGTGGCAGCAGGGGCTGTCAACGCTCAGGGGGTCCAGGGAGGAGGAGGAGGAAGAAGATGAGTAGGGGGGGCAGGAGAGCACCTCGAGGCGTTCTGGTTCCTCCGTCTTCCGTCCTTCGTCCATCCCTCCCTCTCTCCGGCTTCCCCAGCCACCTCAGACATCCAACGTCATGATGTGACTCGCGACGTGAGCACCCCGACCCCTCGACCACATCCCTGAATTTGTCATTGAGGATGCAGGGGCCCGAAGCGGGGACCTGAAGGCCCGACATGACGAAAAATTGGCCGCCATGATTCTTTCGTGACGGTGCGGGTCTGGGCCCTCGTAGTCGACCCCTCTAACTGACTTGGAGTGCGCTCTGACTACATGCTCGAGGGGGTTCAGCCGTGGCGACGAGGGTGCTGCAGGAAGTCTTTAAGAAGCTTAAGCGGTGGATCAACATCGTCAGTTCGCGGGCGAACGTCCTCTCAACCCTCTGGTGTTTTGATCCTGCGTCTCAAGTGGTGCCTGCACCTCATGACTACTTTCCAGAGATCGGCGTTTCGTCCAAGAGGTTCTGCTGAGCGGTTCCAGGCCCCGCAGGGGTCTGCAGCAGACGCCGAACTAATGGAACATGTGCGGTTGTTTCAGCCCCTCGTCCTTAGCAGGTACTTCAAGTTCCGGTTCGGGGCGGGCGCCTTCAACCCCAAGGCCTCCGCGCAGCTCGACCGGGCCTCCGCCGGATTCAGCGTCTTGATCGTGATGGCGACGAGCATCTGCGTCTGCGCCGAGGCTGCGGTCGTGGTCCCCCGACCTCCGTGGTCTGGGCCCGGGGTGGCGTCCGAGGGATTGGCCCGAAATTTGAGATTTCGGGCTGGCTCGGGGGCGGTCTGGTCGGCAGCCCGATGGATTCCCCCCGGCGGCGTGCCCCCTCGATGCTGCTTCGGCCCCAGACAACGGCGACGACGGCGGCGGCGGCGGCGACGACGACGACGACGGTTGGGCTGTCGCGGCGACGATCGTGACGACGGACGACGGCGACGACGACGACGAGAGCCAAGACATCCGCGCGGTCCTTAGAAAGTTACCCTCGTACAGTTTTTTACTCTTGTCGGGGGACGTCGACGACAACGACGACGTCGACAAAAACGTGGACGAGGACGCGGATTTCGTCCTCTCCCCGAAGTTCAGAGCGAGGACGCGCCCCGTGTGCAGGTCCAGGGGCCGATCTCGGGAGAGAGGGCCCAGCTGCCCAGAGTCCTGGAGAGGCAGTTTGTCTCAGCTTGCAGTGCTGTTTGGCCACGCGCAGAGGGGGGCAGGGGGAGAGGGGAAGGCTTCTTAGAAGCCCCCCTGCTCCTTAGAAGGCGCGGGCCATGCCTGCAGATGTAAGGCCCGCGGCTTTCAAGAGGCAGCCTCTTTCTGAGAAGCGTGTCCCCCCTCCCCCATACCCCCATCTGCGCGCTTCCAAGTTGTTCCCAACCATCCTGTGGTGTTGGGTCCTCGTTTTGAAGAGACGGTGCCCCGCGTTCATCTCCTCCTCTCCTCCTCTTCCCCCTCCTCCCTCCTCCCATCAGCACCATCATCATCATCGTCATCATCATCATCATCATCATCATCATCATCATCATCATCATGCTCCTCTCTATTCTCCTTGCGACCCGCGCTCTTGCTGTCTCTGCAGCTTCTCAGCCCCAAAGCGCCCCCCTCGGCCGCGCGCGCGGGCGCCTTATGCAGGCGATCGCGTAGGTGGCTCTCCAGGGCGCGGGGGACATTCTTTTTCGGGGGGTGCGGGCCGCGCTCTGCGAGCGGCTCGTCGCCGCCCCCGTTTCTGTGCTTCAGGACCAGGGGCCTCCGCTACCGCCTGGTCCACCCAACAGGCAGACCCGCCTGGGGGTGAGGGGGCCGTTTGCCCCCTCCCCTCGGCGGGCTCTGCCTGTCCCACCGTCTGCCTCGGGCAGGCGGTGGAGTTGAGCAGCGGGGCCTCTCCCCGGCTGCTCTCGACGGTCGCTGCCCTCCTCTGGGTGACGGCCGCGTGCAGCGCCTGCGCAGGCTGCTGCTCCGGGCTGCTGGGCCCGTGCCTGTGGCGGAGGCTCTGGCCCTTCGCCTGGCCGCGCGGTGCGGCGCCTGCTCCGCTCGAGCAGGACCGCCGCGCGGCCCGAGCGCTTGCTTGCGGGCCAGGAGCCCAGGCGCTCGACAGGGCTCGGGCCCTGCGTCCCGGGGTCGGTGCCTTCGTCGGCGCCCGCTCAGCGCGCCGCGCTCAGCTCGAGGCGGCCCTCACCGCCTCGCGGGGCCGAGCCCCTCGGACGGTCCTCCTGAGCCGTTCCGCGCGAGCTTCGCTCGCTCGCGCTCGCTCGCGCGCGCTCTGCTCTTCCTCTCCCTTCTGGCCGCCTGGATGGCGCATCCGCTTGTCGGCGGAGGTCCCATCTGGCCCGACCTACGCTCCTTTGCTACAGCTGCTGCCGCGCGACCGCTCGCCGGCAGGCGCTCTCGCAACGAGACTGCTCAGCGGAGCGCTGCCTCAGCGACGCGAACCCAAAAGCTCCCGCCTTTCCTCCCCTCGCCTCCCTCTTCTTCTTCCATCGAGGCGGGGGGAAACGACGAGGACGAGGAGGGGTACGAGGAGGCTGAAGACCTGGGTTTCCGCAGCGAAGAACAAGCCGCCAGAGGGAGGAACGGTCTACTGCTCGCGCCCCACCAGCCACCGCCGCGCAGTACGCACCGCCCGCAGCCCACTGCAACTCTGAGCCAGCCTCACGCCCGCCGAACCGCGGGCGAAGAGGCAGAGCGCGCGAAGGGAACCGCCTTGGGGACGGGGGAATGGGAGGAGGAGAGTCCTGCTAACCTCCACCTCCTCACTCACTCCCCTCCCCCCCTCACAACGCCATGGCTCGACCGGGGCCCCGCTTGCTCAGCGGGCACCGAGTGGCCGCTTCGCGCGGCCTTCCGGGTTCCAGGCACCGACGCGGCGGGCCTGTCCTCGTCCTGGTGGGACGCGTCATCAGCTGAGCCACCCGCTTTGTTGGCGAGCGCCTTTGACGTTCAGCGCGGTGTGCCCCTTATCTGCACCCTCCCGCCGCCGACGCTGCAGGGCAGGCGTCCCCTGCCGCCCCCAGGCCTCGCCGAATTGGGTATCGGCCCCCCTCCGGGCCTTGGCCCTCCATCGGCTGCCGAGCGAAGGCCGCCGTCGCCACGGGTTCCGACGGGGTTGCCTCCTCGTCCGCCACCCGGTTTGGTCGCGCCGTTGGAGCCGGATGTGTGGCGTGTGGAATCGTTTCCGCGTTTCTCCGGCATGGAGGCCGGCGCTCGGGTACCGCCTGCGATCAGTCCGTGCACGCCCGCGGAGTCGTTTCTCGTCGGTGGTGGATCGCCCTTCCAAGCCGGGCGGGCGGGGCCGCCGCCAGGTCTCGCCGACCCAGAGGCGCTCCCGTCGCTCCACCGTGACGCTGTTGATCCCGCCTCACTTTGGGCGCGCGCTGCCCGTGACTTGGGTTGGTATGGTGATTTCGGAGGGCTCCCACCGCCTACCAGCCTCGTGGGTGGTGTCGGCGCGCCCGCCGCCAGTGGTCCATCCCCGCGTGCGGGCGCCCGCGATTTGTTGCACTCGCTCGGGCTATTCGGGGATCCAGCCTCATCCTTGTCAGCCCTGCCGCCCCACATGAGGACATATGCGATGGCGTCAGCCGCCGATGCCGCTGTTTCACGGGGGGTTCTCGTTGCGGCTGCTTGCCAGGCTACTCCTCCACCCGCCGCCGCTGTGCCTTCGCGCGGTGCTGCGGGCTCGGGCACTTGCGACTTGCCGCGGTCGCTCGGGGTGCATGGGGACCCCCCCACGCCCCCGCCCGACACAGCGTCGGTGCTGGCAGAGTCTACTTCTGAGTTCGGCTGCACGGGCGACCCGGGCGGGCTCTGGCCGCCGACCTGTCCCGCGAGCGGGGTCGACGTGTCAGGTGCACGAAATCCTACTCCATGTGGCGCGGGCGCGTCCCGCGTTGGCAACGGGACGTCGTCAGCCCACGTTCGGTGCCCTTCTTCTCTGCGCCGACTCGACGCGTCGCCGGCCGCCTTCGTGTCTCCTACGAGCGGTGCTATCTGCTCGAGTCCACGCGACGTGCTGCGGGCGCCCAGGGTTCGCGGCGACCTTCCCGCGCCCCTGTCAGACTCAGCGGGTCATTCGAGCGCTCACGACCTGCCGCGGTCGCTCGGGGTTCCTTCGGACCTGGCTGACGTGGCCGACAGGATGGCTGCATTGCCCCTGGCCACCCCAAGGCCATCAGCAAAGCCTTTCGCCGCTGGGCCCCGCGCCTCCGCCTGGGCAACACGACCTTGCCTCGGTCGGCGGCTTCGCCGAGGCGGGCGGCGCGGACGCCGTGGACCCGCCTCCTGCGGCTCCCCAGTCGGACCTCAGCATGGCGCTGATGTGCTTGCATCAGTCTCCAGCCCTAGCCCTGCAGCAGGGGCGGGGCTCCCGCCCAGCAGCTCATCCGCTACTGGGGTTTCTGAGCGACTACGCTCAGGCCCCGTCCGCATCTTCGGGCGACCTCAACTCTTCGTCCACTCAGATGCGGGGGATCGCACGGCGGCGCGCTTGGCATGCTACCTTGGCGCAGCACGGTCCCGCCGTGCGAGACCCGCTCGGGGTTCAGACGCTGCTGACCTGCCAGTGCATGTTCATCGATCAGCAGGCGGGGGACCGCGGCTGCCTAGAGGCCGCATGGTTCCTCACGGGGGTGGAGCCCACTCCATGTCGCGTCACCAGTCAGCACACGGAGCGCGAGGCGCAGTCCCCGTTTTCACCCCTCGTGGACTTCCGCTGGCTGTCCGCGCAGGGCGAGTACATGAAGGAGCTGCAGGTTTTTCGGACGCGCCTCGACGCCGAGCGCGCCGCCGCGCTTCCCCAGCAGCCGCCTCACGTACCCAAGCAGCCCAGGACTCCAAAGGTGCCTCCCAAGGTACCGAAGGTGCCACCCCAGAAGCAGTGACGGGGCCGCTGCTGCCCGTCACCTGCGAGGGAGCTGCCTCCAGTGGCCGAGGTTCAGCGCCGCAGTCAGTCCGTGCTGACGCTGCTGCGGCTGCTAGGCGCGCTTGGGCGCAGCGAGGCCGTGAGGGTAGGAATGCGCTCCTCCAGCGATGCTGGTGCGGCCCCGCAGGGAGGAGTTCGTTCCGCCATCACGCCTCTCGCTTCGCTCCGAGCCGCCCCTCGTATCCACCCGGCCATTTTGGCCACCACTGCCCTCAGTCGAGCTCCCCCCGCACGGGGTGTGCAGCCCCTGAGAGCGGTGTCCTTGCTGGCGCGCGTCCTGTCGCGTGCACCCCCGCTGCCCTTGCTAAAGTCGCGCCCTTTGTCGCTGACGTGTCTTCCTTGCTGCGTCTTTTTCCTGGCGCAAACATCGATATCACCCACTGGGCAGCTGCGCTGTCTCAGGTCGGGATGGGTGCTCGTTGTTCACTGGGCTCATTCTCCCGCTCATCTTTGCGTGCGTTGGATCGGGACGACCCGTACTTTTTGGGGCCGCCTCCCCGCGATCCTTGGCCGTGTCCGCCTGCCCCACCTCTTGGTCCCCCGCCTGATGGTCTGTCAGCGAGGCGCAGGGAGCGTTGGCGGCTCAGGCGCGCGGCACGGACTCTTGCGCAGTATTCCGTTATTGCGTTGAACTGGCTCACGCTGGGTCACCCTAGCTTCGCTCCCGCCGAAGCCCGAGTCCGCGCCACGGCCTCGCCCTGCCAGGAGGGCGTTCGCTCCCGCATTGAGCGGTTGTGTCGGATCGCAGTTCGCCTTGCCCGCGGTGGCAAGA